TTTTTTTTTTTTTTTTCAGGGCATGGTGGCATCCCACATACTCGGGAGGCTGAGACAGAATAATTGCTTGAACCTGGGAGGCAGAGACTGCAGTTAGCCAAGATTGTGATACTGCACTCCAGCCTGGGTGACAGAGCAAGACTCTGTCTCAAAAAAGAGTATGTTTAAACATTTTCATGGGTACATCTGGTTGCTCTCCAGAAAGATTATATCAATTTCGATTCCCACCAGCGGTGTATGACATGTGCATTTCTTTTTTTTCTTTTTTGAGATAAAGTCTCACTCTGTTGCCCAGACTGGAGTGCAGTAGCGTGATCTCGGCTCACTGCAACCTGCGCCTCCCAGGTTTAAATGATTCTCATGCCTCAGCCTCCCGAGCTAGGATTACAGGCGCCTGCCATCATGCCCGGCTAATTTTTGTATTTTAGTAGAGACGGGCTTTCACCATGTTGGCCAGGCTAGTCTCAAACTCCTGACCTCTGATGATCCACCCGCCTCGGCCTCCCAAAGTGCCGGAATTACAGGTGTGAGCCACCGTGCCCAGCCTGAAATGTACATTTCTTTATATCCTTGTTGACATTTTTGGTATGATCAGACTTCATCTTTTCTTCCAGTGTGAGAGATGAAAATATGTATTTATTTGACTGTTAGCTAGGGCCAGGATGCTTTCAAGGGTGTGTCAGCCATTTGTATCTTCTGAATGTTTCCGTCCTCTGCCCGGTTTGCCTGGTTGTTGGGTTTTTTCTTTCAGATCTTAACAGAGTTTACTCAGGAGACTTTTAATGTGTGTTGCTATTGCAAATGAAGTGGTTTTCCTGACTTACTTCCTAGCTGGTTGGTGGCAGTGTGTAACAGCAATTGCTTTTTGGGTGCATCCTTGCAGTTCTTGAAAATAACGTGTGTGTTGCACGTGGCTTTTTATTGCAGTGCCTGTGAGGCCTCCTGAGGGTACCACTGACCTGGCAGAAACCTCCTACCTCCTGAGTACCTTTTTGGATGGTGCTGCTGCGTTGCTAGTTGTGGCGAAGTTGAGTCATACACAGATCCTGCTCTCCTGAGTTTATCCAATGAAGACAGTAGGACAGATACAGAAATTATAGGGTAGAAAAGAGACCTGCTGATCTTTTTTTTCCTAAGAGTCTTGATCTGTCACCCAGGCTGGAGTGCAATGGCGTGATCTCGGTTCACTGTAACCTCCACCTACCAGGTTCAAGCAATTCTCCTGCCTCAGCCTCCCAAGTAGCTGGGATTACAGGTGTGCACCACCACACCTGGCTAATTTTTATATTTTTAGTAGAGACAGGGTCTGGTCTCGAACTTCCAGAGTGCTGGGATTACACGCGTGAGCCACCGCGCCTGGCCTACTTGCTGACCTTTGTTATTTCCAGCATCTGGCAAGTAGTGGGCACTGTGGTCTGAGATAAGTCACTATGGTGCCATAAGTGTTTTCCAAAATGTTTAGCTGAAGATCCTATTAGCCCGGGGTTTCTCAGCTCCAGCTGCATACCAGAATTACAGGGAGAATGTTTCAAATATTTATGCTAAAGCTCAGTTTGCAGGGATTTGGTTTTCGTTTGTCTGAGGTGGGACCCAAACATCGGCATTTTGAAAGCGGCTCGAGCTGCCAGGTTGAGAACCACTGCTCGTGCGATCTGTAAACTCTCCAAGTAGAGCTCCAAGTGTAGGGGTGCCCCTTTCTCCTCCCTTTGGGTTCTAAGACGGCTCTACCGAGCACAGTTTGATCCTCCCGTGAGGCTGCACTTGCTGATGTGACCTCGTCCTGGGCTAATGCTGGCTCAAATGCCAGGATGGAGAACTAGGCAGAGACCCAGGTTCAGCCAGACCACGGCAAGCCGGTGACCTTATGCTGAGGTTTCTTGGCCTAGGAAAGGCTGTGACAGAGTGGGTGGAGTTAGGTGTTGGACACCAGTGGTGCGTGCTTCCAATTTGGCCAAATGTGAGTTGCTTCTGTTCGTCGTCATTGCGAAGGATTCACTGCCATAAGCACAGCTGTCCCAGAGATGGATGTGCTGAGCGAGGGTGCTTATGCCACCCTCAAAGCTGCTGTTGCGTGTAGCCGAGAGTCAGAGGTTGTGGGCCTTTTCCTTAAAAGTGGTATCCCTTGCTTTGAAGTAGCACCTAACCATGTCCGATTTGAACCTTAGGTGATAGCAATCGTGTGCCCATCTGACTGATGCTGAAACAAGCCCAGAGAAATTGTGACTTGCCTAAGATTGCCCAAGGAAGCGTGAGCCTGGATTCGGGCCCTGATGCCCCGATTCAGAGAGCTTCCCTGTCCTCCTGCTCCGTGCTGCCTGTGAGTGGCCCTCTGTCAGGAAGAGGCTGCGGTTATTTATACACCCAATGACACGCTAACACCCTCTTTATCCGGCACCGTCTCTGCTGGGAAGGCCATCCATCTGTGCAGTAGGCTGCCAGCGGCTGAAGTGGTGACCTGGTGCTGGAGGAAGGGAGAAGGCTGCAGAGCAGTGAACCCGACTCGGATTCATTTGTGGGCATTCTCCCCCTGGCATAAACTGTGACCCAAGAGTTGCTTTCAGGTCTATTCTCTGGCCACCGGAATGGCTGGAGAATAGGCTCTGTTATCTAACCCGTTACCCATCACCCCCTGGGGCCCACAGACACTGCGGCACCTGTCAGAGATGATGATAAATATCTAGGCCAAAGGTTTTTAAAGAAATCTTTGCAGTGGAATGGAATGTTCAATCAAGATGACAAGGCATCTTCAAGGAATAAATAAAGTATTGATACCTAACTTTCTACTCTTTCCCTTCTCTGCCCTGCCCACACACAGCCCCACCCAGTGGTGGCTGTCCTGCCTCTCCCAGCCCTGGCCCAGGCTTTGTTCCCGCCCCGCTCCCCCTCCAGCTCCTCCACTGGGGGAGGAGCCCATCTTCAAGTCACTCCTCACCTCCCTTTCCTGTCTTCCCACCCCTGCCTCCCATCCCGTAAGTCACCAAATCCCATCCATCTGCTTTCTGAGTTCTCCCAGAATTGCTCTCCAGCCCAGTCACCACTTCCCAGACAAGCCACCTGCCCTTGCTGGACGGCCTGCAGCGGCCCCCCAGGCCCACTCACCGCGCTCACTGCCTCACATCTCAGCTTAGAGGGTGCCTGTCTGCCCTCCTGGGCTGAGTGAGCTCTTTGAGGGCCCCTTTGTCTTAGCACCGTGCACCCATCATCAGGTACAGCGCAGGTCACACAGAAGTCATCCGAATATCCTGGTTGAATTACTCAGACCACCTGACGTCTGGAACCTGGCTAGACCTGGTACAGCTTTAGATGTGTGTCCTGGGCAATGTGTCTGGCCCAGGCAAGCATTTTCACAGCCAAGGCTTTATCCACAGACCTCTCTCCTCCAGGAGAGTATGAGACCAAGCACCCGATGACATTTTTCTCTCCAAATGTCTCTATTGGGAAACCTCAGATGGATCAGGGGTGGGCGCCTGGTCAGCTCTCGCAGGATGGCTTTAGGAGGGAAAATGACATTTCAGGAAGGATTTAGGCATCACTGTCTTTTTTCAGAGAACCAAAGCCTTTTCCCACCCTTTCTGCCACACACCCTCTGGTGGAAAGCAGTGATGGGTGACAGCCAGCAGACGAGCTCCCCAGCTCCAGAGCCTCGCCTCCAGGGTCAGCCCCGCTTCCAGGGTCCCGCACCTGCACCCTGGGGGCTGCCTGACCACAAGACAGCCCCCTCTGTGCCCAGGGCCGGCCAGCCGGCCTCTGGAGCCCTGTTCAGCTGGAGCTGCCATATTGAGGCGAGTGTCATGGGCAGAGCGGCTTCCCCAGGCCCCAATTGCACATCTGCTTGGCCCTAGCACGAACAACACTTGGGCTGTGGAACAGCCCTCTCACTGCACTGCAGACTCGAAAGGTGCCCACACACCTAAGATGGTGACCCAAGGGTACCTTCCCTCCCCTGCCCTCACCAGGTCTCATGACGACCCAAGGGTACCTTCCCTCCCCCGCCTTCACCAGGTCTCGTGCTTGCTGAACTGAACCCACTTTTTTGCTCGTGAAGATGAAGGTCTAAAGATGGCTATTTGTGTTAAACCCCAGAGCAGCCCCTTTCTGCCAGCCCCTCCTTGCTTGCTCTCTTCTTAGAGCAGAGCTTGGCGAAAAGCCTCATTTTTGCCACAGTGGCATCTGACAGTGGCCTGGGCACGTGGGAGGGCCTCTGTATGCCAACTGGCTGCCAGCAGGACGTGTGGGGAAGCCGCAGGTCCACCCTGGGCTTCTACGGGGCATGAGAGCTTCCTGTCACTAGAGATGTTGAAGCTGGCTAGGACGCCCATCCCCCGGGGTGGCGAGGCAGGCATTGTGCAGGAGGTGCCATGAGATTCTCCCCGAAGCAGGGCTTGGCCAGTGGTGGAAGTTATGCTCCTGGGACCAAAAAGAGAAAAGGCTGGAGGCCGTCAAGAACAGCCCCCTCTGTGCCTGGGGCCAGGCTGCCTGGGCTCTGGAGCCCTGCTCGGCTCAGGCTGCCATACAGAGGGGAGTGTCACGGGCAGCAGCGGCTTCCCTAGGCCCCAATTGCACCCATAAGCCACAAGCCTGTCTTCCTGGGCTCCCACCACAGCCTCTCCAAAAGACCCATCAGCAGCTTCCTGTTTCTAAACTGAGTCCTCAGAATATTCCTGGGTGTACCCCCAATCTCACCTGTGCCCACGCACTTGCTCTGGCCTGGCCGCTGCTGCCCGGTTGTGGTCCTGCTCAACCCTCCGCCCCCAGGAAGCCTGCTCTCCCCATCACAGCCCTCCTGAGCCCCTTTTGCCACATCCTCCTGCACCCCTGTAGCCTCTGTTTGCCCAGGTATGAATGTGTCTCCCTGGCGGTCTGGGAGCTGCTAGCAACTGGGGCCAGACCTCTTCTCCTCGAATGTAGCTGAAGCCTTGGCTGCGGGGGGGAGCTCCTCTGAACTGAGCACTTGGACAATGGGGCAGGAGAAAGAGAGAAAGGGACCCCAGCACACCAAGGAGAACAGAACACACTCCTTTATTCCCTGGGAGACAGGCTGTCGCTCAGGGCTTAGGGATGCTCGGCTCTGGGCCCCGGCAAGGCCGGGACAGTGTGGGGCACTGCTGGCTCTACCGGCAGGGCAGGTCCGAGGGGACTCCTGCCCCTTCCTCAAAGCTTCTCCAGGTAGGAACCAGGGGCGAAGCCACGCTGCCCGTTCCGCTCCACGGTCCACCAGCCATCCTCCCCTTCCAGGATCACCTCCAGGATGTCACCCGCGGAGAGGTCCAGCTCATCTGGGTTCTGGCCAAGAGATTGAAAGCGCATGACTCTGGAAGGGCCCGTGGGGAGGGACCTGGCTGACGTTCCCCCACCCAGCAGTAAATGTGGCATGTCTCCCAGGGTGGGCAGGGGCAGCCGAGCTGTGTCCGTGCCTGCTGGGGCAGCCCATTGGAGACATAGGATGGGGATGCCCCAAGGGACCTAGCCTCCCATCACCTCAGTTTGTCTTTGTAGGCCTCCCCCCACCTGGGTTTTTTCCCCAGCCTCACCTCCCCTCTCCCCTCTGGAGAGACACAGTGACTGGAGCACGTCAGGGGTCAGGACTGCTCATCACGCCCCAAGCCCAGGGCACACTCAGGCCCAAGCTCACCACACAGCCTCCCCTCTGTGGTCCCCAGTCCCAGTTAGCCACTGCCATCCGAGTGCCCCGTCACTCTCCTGGCCTGGCCATGCATGGCGGGGGGTGCTTGGCCTCAGTCCAGGTGGATCTGAGGTCTGGCTATGCACCCCTCCCGTCAAGCAGGGAGCAGAGTGGACCCTCTCTCACAGCTGCCCTGTGGCTGCCTTAATGCATCCTCGCTGCGTGGACATCAGAAAATCAATCCTGGCATGATCGCAAGACTCATTCTGGCCAGTTTTCCGCACCCATGGCCAGGGAGGACGGCCCTGACCCACAGGTTCGAAGCCTGGCCCTCAAGCTATGACCTGCAGGCAGCCCCAGGCTATGTCAGCACCCCACCCCCTGCACCTGTGCAGCACGCAGTGCCCAGCCTGTGTGAATGGCACAGGCACGTGTGCTCCACGTGTGTGCTGTGTGCAGGCCGAGCAGACTCAGGTCTGCTGCTGCCAGTTTCCTTTTAGCACAGACGATCAGAGGCCCTCCAAACCCCGGGGGCTGTCCTCAGAGCCCATGCTGAGCACTCTCCCAGGCGCCCTTGCTAGTGTGGACACACGCTGGGGGACACGTGCCCTCCTGAGCAGGAGAGGACGCTCAGAGATAAACCACCAGGAGAGAGGAGGCTGTGAGGCTCTGAGTGGGACAGGGAGCTCTCAGGTGCGGGGAGGCGGCACAGGTGGCTTGGGGCGTGGCGGCCTCACCTGTGCTGTGTAGTCGTAGAGCGCGCGGTACTCCTGGGCTGGCGAGGCCGAGTTTCCCTGCGTCTCCTGCACTGCGATGGCTGCGTAGACACCCTCATTCCGCTCGGGGGAGGGGGTGAGGGTCTCTGTGGAGGCTGAGAGCAGAGTGAGGCATGAACCCTTCCCCTTTCTGCGACCCCTGGAGGTCCTGCTGGGACGGGGTTTCTCCATGCTGGGCCCCGCCTCTTCCCTCGGCTCTCCACACTTGATGTTGGGGGGCACGCCCTTCCCCTTGAGGGGCCTCAGTGGCCCCATCTGTGCCATGTAGGAGACCTCCCCCTGGGATCAGTGTGTTTGGGGGTCCCCTCCTGACCCCCTTTACCAGCAGAAGCTGCCAACGAGGTGGTCTTGGGACTTCCGTGCAGCAGTCCAGAGAACCTGCGGACAAGCAGAGGAGAGAGGGTGAGTGCCCCCACCCCATACTCAGGGCCCCCCCCGGAGGGGGGGGCTCGGCAGGGAGAGTTCTCAGAGCTGCGCGCTCTGCCAGGGCTGGGGCTGCCCCAGCCTCCGGGCATGGATGTGACCGATGAGGTGTTCCTGGGGCCGGAGGGTTCCCCAAAACCTGGTCCCGGTGGCTCCTCCGTCCCCAGCTACGCCCCCCCACTGGCGCCCTCTGCAGGCCGCGTCCGCACCTGCTCCCTGCAGCGCCCCTTGCTGGAGCTTCAGGGGAAGACCCCAGCACCCTTCGGGGGCTCTAGGACCTCCGTGCTGAGGCCTCACCCTCCGCGCCCTGCCCAGCTCGCCCTAGCAGCCTCCCCGACGGGGGTGGGGGGTGCACTGCCGCAGGAAGCCTGGCTCACACGTGCCCTGCTGGGGCCTCTGCTGCCTGGGCCGAGCCAGCCCCCTTCCCCGCCGGCCCCGGGGATCGGGCCAGCTCTGCCACCCTGTGCACAGGAGTTCCCGGACGGCGCTGGGCGACTCTACCCCTGCGCCTGCGCCAGGCTTAGGCCTGGACTGAGCTGGGGTCGTGAAGGTTTACTGAATAAAGGAAAATAAAGCAGAAGACGCGAGAGGCCGACGCTGGGGTCACCCCCTGAAGCAGGCGGTAGTGGGGGCTCAGAGGAGAGGCTGACACTGCCTCCGAGGCGGGAAGGCTTCTTGGTGGGCTGCGGCTGAGTCTTCAGAGGTGAGTCTTTTACTAGGCGAGAAGGGGGAGCGAGGCGCTGCCGGTGATGGGGGAGGGGGGAGCGCGCAGGTGCAGGGGAGGAGGTGCTGCCGGTGACGGGGGGTGGGGGGGTGGTGGGGAGCGCGCAGGTGCAGGGGAGGAGGCGCTGCCGGTGACCAGGGGGTGAGCGCGCAGGTGCAGGGGAGGAGGCGCTGCCGGTGACCGGGGTGGGTGGGGGAGCGCGCAGGTGCAGGGGAGGAGGCTCTGCCGGTGACCAGAGGGGGAGCGCGCAGGTGCAGGGGAGGAGGCGCCGGCAGGCGGGGGTCTGTGGAATGATGGACTAGTTTGGGTGTGTGGGGGACAGACTGAAATTGGGACGGGAGCAGACGCTGAGGAACCTTGAATGCAGGTGAGGGGCTGAGCCACGACTCAGGGGCCTGCAGGAGGCTGCCCTGCAATTCAAGGTGGCATGTGGGGTCCTTTCCCACATGAGGGGCCGAGGGCGGAGGCCTAGGAGTGCACACACATTCGCAGGGTGGACACGCATGGCCCAGCACGTGAGAGGGCCTGACACTATCACAGGCGGTGCAGACACAGGAGGCAGCGTCCCGCAGAAAAGGACAGGGTGAGAGCGCGGTGGGGGTGGGGGCGCAGGGCTTGCTGAGCCATTGTGCTGCCCGCCCCATACCTCTTTTCCCCAGACTGTCTACACTTCCAACTCTCAGCCACTGACACCTGCCTCTCCCCAACCCTGTCTGGTTTCTAGCTGCCCCATCCAGAGGCCTGACCAGCCCCCTTCAGCAGTCAGGCCTCCCTCCGCCCTGCAGGACACCCCCCCCTTCCTCTCTCCGTCCCTCCCTGTCTCTGTCTTTCTCTCATCCTCTCTGGGGCATCCCTTTCTGCCCCTTCCTGACACTGCCTCAGGTGAGCTCTTTGTCCAGTTGCGCGAATGACCACCTTTGCTGGGATCCAGGTCCTCACCAGGTGCAGGGAGGCCCGAGTCCCCCAGCTTTTGTAGGGTGCGAGGCTGCGGATGTGCTGCCTCCTGGGGTGACTGCTTTCATGAGATTCTCAAAGGGGTGTGTGGACCCCCCTCTGTGAGCACGGGTGGTTCCCATGAGCCTCTGCCTCCCAGGAGTAGGAGGCTCCTGAGGCCCTGGAATGAGCTGGTCCTTGCGAAGGGCCGGGAATTGCATCAGCTCCTCCCCGCGGTCTGCTACCTCCCAGAGGCAGGGCCTTCTTGGTTGAGGGTTGGCTGGAGAGAGGAGGGTGGCATGGCACTGGGGGCACAGGAACCACATGAAACCCACCGACCCTCGTGGATGCTCACAGACAGGGCACATGGCCCCCTTAAAGGCCTGGCTATGAGGCTCCCTGAGCTGGCTGGTGCTCCCAATGGGCTGTCACCATCATCACTCAAGACCCGCACCAGGAGGGGTCCTTAGGTTCTGAATCTGACCCCAAAACCTAGGACCCTGGCCCTAGAGAATGTGAGTGATTTGCCCAGGTCACACACTGAGGCCCGGAACTAGGACCGTGGCACCTGACTACAGCCAGGCTGGGGAAGGGGCCCTGGAAGAGTCTGGAGAATTCTCCAGATGCCCCAGTCCTGCCCCAGCCAGAGAGCATTGCCACTGCAGGATGACAGGGCACCAGGCTGTCATGGGGACACCAGGCTCTCATGGGGACACCAGGAACAAGGAAGCCAGCACAGGGGCCTCCCCAGAGCTCGGAACACAGCCCCTGGTGAATAACTTAATGTCGGGTCCCTTGGGCTGAGGGTCCCATAGGCTGAACCGAGCCTATCTGGTCTCCAGAGAGTGCCCAGCACCCAAACTAGTCACCAGATTCATAGAAGGTGCTCAGTGAACCATGAAGGGCCAGGTGCAGCAGAAGGGCTCGGCCTACTTCCTGGCCCAGCCTCGAGCCTTGCCTCCGTCTGCTGGGGCCTCACCTCTTTATCATGCCGCAGGACGGCTGGATGCTGGGGCTGCCGGTCAGCGGGGTGACCTCCCGGTCATAGTAGTTCTGGTAGAGCACCGGAGCTGCAGACAGCAAGCCGTGAGGCCCAGGGCAGCTCCCAACACCCCATTCTGGCCCTGCCAGTGACCCAGCTGGGGACCTGGCCCATCCTGGTGCCTGGAGAGGTGCCTGTCTCGCTCCCATGAGAGACTCCACCATAGGGACCACCAAGACCTAATATTCTGGACCCATGATTCAGTGAAACCAAACAGGTGGGGAGTGGGGCTGTGGCAGCCCCTCCCCTCAGTCCCCACCCCCAGCTCTTCCTCTGAGTGCCATCATGCCCTTAGCTTTGCCTGTGAGGAGGCAGCAGGCCCAGGACCCAGCCTGAGACTGCACTGTCTCCAAACCCCCGCAAGCCCTGGGGTCTAGCTAGGGCTGCTCTGCCCGGAGGGGAGCCATGAGCTACCCCAGCCCTGTCCTGGCACAAGGCTCAGAGGCTCTGGGCCAGGCCTTCCATGGGGCTCAGTGCGCCCAGAGGCTGCGCTGTCTGCAGGCGGTGCCTCACCCGGGGGCTCAGTGCCCGTGCTCTTGGCCTGGATGAAGCCGTCGATGTCGGCGTCTATGCTGCAACCTTCCAGCGTCAGCCGCACTTCCTCGTAGAGCTGGGGCGGGAAAGAGCAGAGGCTGCAGCCCGATGCCCGCTCTGCCCCTCTGAGGGTCTGAACTCTGGCCGGCGGCCCCCTCCCCACCGCCTCACAGGCCTTTGTGTGCAGCTTGGGGTCTTTGATCCTGAGGAGTCACAGCCCTGGCTGACAGCTTCCTGTTTCCTGAACACCTTCAGTGCGCAAGGCCCTGTGCACGGGCCGTAACTCACACCTGTCCTCTGAAGTGGACACCTCTTTCCACCAGATGGAGGAGGAAACTCAGAGAAGGAGAGTGACTGGCCCAAGGTCACAGAGAATGCAGCACACCAGGCCTTGGGGCCAGTAAGAAGAGTCGGTCCCGAGCTCACGCCTTCCATCCCGAGGAGGCGAGGAGGGAGCAGGGGGCAAAAACAGCAAAATCAACCCCCCAGCCCTGGGCAGGAGTGTCAGGCAGGAAACACAGCAGGCACGGGGGCCAGGGCTGCCTGGGAAAGCCTGCTCTGGGCTTCCTCAACAGTGCTCAGGACCCCTGGTGGGGGTGGCCGCTCTCTGCTGGGGAGGACCCATCCAGCAGGTTGGACTCAGTAAGGGAAACCAGCACACCCTGGAGATGTGGGGAGCAGAGGGAGGACTGTGCCTGCCTCCTGCAAGCACCGGGCCTAGAGCAGAGCAGCTGGGGTCCTCTGGCCTCTGCCAACCCCTGAGAGCTGTGTCCACCTCCCCTCCCAGCCCCAGCAGAGGGAGCAGAGGAGGAGACGGCAGATGCCAGGGGAACCACAGAGTCACCGTCTTTGAGGCAGAGATGCCGTGGCCCTGTGTGGTACTGAGCTCCTATCTTGGGGTTCTGGGGACAAAGGCTGAGCTGTTGAGGCCTGAGACCCCTCAGGCCAGGCTTGGACCACAGAGGACCACATGCTTGTTGACTGGCTCAGATGGACCTGGGCATGCTGTCACCTGGAGGCTGCCCTCCCTCACCCCACCCCAAGGCCCTCAGCCCCTACCTCATCGTCCTTGACGCACTGCATGGAGAGCTGGTTGCTGTGTACCCAAAGAGCGTTTCGGAGAATGGTCAGCCGGTCAAACTCTTGCAGCTGGAAGGCCTGGGGGGAGTGCAGCGAGGTGAGCTGCGGGAGGAGGCACTGCCCCGCCAGGCCAGGCTGGGCCCCACTCACAGCTCAGCAGGAGCTGACCAGGCTGGCACCCTCTGCTGGAAGCCCAATCCAGAGAAGAGAGCGCCCTGGGGTCCCTATCCCCACTCTGGACCAGCCCTGAGGCTGCAGGAAGGGAGGTGGAGCTGCCGGGGTGGGGTGGGGGTGGGGATCCCTGCCCCAGTCTCCCTTGAGGCCACACCACATTGAAACAGAGGGGTAATGAGAGGAACCCTGGACAGGAGTCCTGAGCCCTATTCCCCAGGCCCTGGCCATTGGCAGTGCCCAGAGAGGCTGTGGGTTTTGTCCAAGCCTCAGTTTTGTCTTCAACAAAAAGGGTGGAAGATTGCCTGCCTGCAACGAAGGGCCCAGGACTGAGGCCAGGTGGAAGCACCCAGGCCAGGGCCCTGCCCAGGGCCTGTGAGCAGGAGGCTGAATGAGTGAGTTACGGTACCTTCCCCCACTGCCTCGGGTGGGCCCCGTGAAGCAGCTCCTCCCACTTCCCGGCTGGAGAAAGCGAGGCTCTGCGTGGGCCACTCACCTCACAGGTGGTCCGGTGCTCCTGCTCCCACTCCGCCCGTACCTTCTCCAGCTGCGCAATGCTCTGCCTGTACACCCGCTCTGCAAGTGCAGGCGGCCTCAGGGAGGGCCCGGACAGGAGCTCCTCCACCCTGTGCTCCTGCAGGGTCCCCTCCTGGAGGCCACCTCCCCCGTGGGACCTGCCCTGGCAGCTGGCGGGGCTTCTTCTGAACACGTTGCCGGGGCCACTCATGCTGGTACCACTCCGGCTCCCCCACTGTGCTCTGAGCTGCCCGAGTGGAGCTGGAGTGGAGCCTCATATTTGCAAGTCCAGAGTCCTGGCCTCTGGCCATCTCTGGGCACCCCACCTCACTTTCCAGAGGGGAAACTGAGGCACAGGGAGGGCAGCCATGCGCTGGAGGAGGGGTGGAGAGGTGGAGTCCTGCAGGCTTGGGTCACAACTTGTGCCCAGATCTCTGAAGGTCACCTGTCTCCCAGCCAAGAGAGTAGCTGGGTCCCGGGTGAGACAGAGCACAAGGGAGAAGCCTTCCCAGGGGAAGGGAGGAGGGTGGGCACTGGGTCCGGTGGGTGGGGCACCAGCAGGGACAAGGGTGTTGGTAGGATTTGGGCATGAAGTGAAGGACAGAGGCCCACAGAATGCTGTGTGCACAGTTGCGTGTGCCTGAGTTGAGAGTGGGCGTGCACGTGCATGTAGGATGGATGAGTGGCTCTGTGTCCTGGGGCTGTGCCCGTGCATGTGGCTCTGAAGCCCGAAGGCCTGGGTCCAAACGCAGTCCCCACCACTTATTGGCTGTAACCTTGGGCAAGTACTGGACCTTTTAGTGCCTCTGTTTCCTCATCTGTTAAGAAAGGGAATCATAACGGCAGCCACCTCAGAGGGCAGCTGGGAGGACTGAACACGTGAAGTGCCAAGAATGGCCAATGAATGGGAGAGCACAGCGTTTACTTTGATTGCAGGCATCTGGACTGAGGGTGCCGCACCTGTGACTGGGCAGCCAGGTGGAGTGTGTGTGTGTCCCCAGGGTAAGGAGGTGTATGTGGGGAGGACCGCCCAGCCTCCGCCTGGTTGGACGAGGCAGTCTGGGCCCACGTACCTGCCTCGCCAGCTGAGTCCCTGCACTGTTTGGCTTTGTTCTGGCTCTGAGGAAACAGGAAGAGCAGTGCTGAGCCCCTGCCCCAGGAGCCAGGGCCCACCCCAGGGGCTCGGAAGTGACTGTCACACCCTCCCCGGCCACCCTGGGGGGGGGGGACACTCAGGAGCCAACTGTGGGCAGATGCCATCATCCACCAGCAACCTCCCCCTACAAAGGACCACAGGCTGGCTGCATGGAAAGGAAGTGAAGACAGGAAGCCCAGCCGAGGAGGAGGCCCATGAACATGGAGAGTGAGACCTCAACCCACAGGAGAGACGTGACCGCTGCTCAGGCCCCTGGCTGGGACTTGGGCTCTGGCCCCTGACTGACCCCAGCTCACCCTTGGGACACTTCCCTCTCTGAGCCTCAGCCTTCCTGTCTGTGCAGTGGGTAACATGTTTACTGGGCCCTGGGAGCTCTGACACCCCCTCTCTGGCCTGAGGCTACAGCATCAGGAGCATGGGCTCTAGACCCCCTGAGTTGGGGTGCCTTCACTGCTGCTTCCTGGCTCTGAGATCTTAGACAAGTCACTTCCTGTGAGCCTCAGTTTCCTCTCTGTGACAGGGGCCTGCTGAGCCCTTCTCCCAGGTTGTGTGAGGGCTGGATCTGCTCTCATAGCCCCATGAGCCTCAGTGGGCCTGCTCCGAGGAATGGGCCCCTGAGTGCCGCCTGACGGTGTCAAAGGGGATGCAGCTGACCTACCTGCCCAGGCCCTAAGGCTCTGTCTTGGAAACCCGTTTCACAGAAGGGAGACTGGGGGTCAGAGAGGGCTGAGCAGCTAGCGTGTCCCAGATGCAGACCTTGCTTGGGGTGTCTACGGCACGCCTCCCCCACCGCCCCCAGCCCTGGACGAGCCACACGTCCCGGCGGCCCAGCGCACCTTCTCCACCTGCTTCTGGTGGCCGTTGGCGCTAATGCGCTCGAAGGTCTGCTCGGCGTCGTCCGCGTCCCGGCACTTCTGCTCGTAAGTCTTCTTGGACTGGGGGTGCAGAGGGGCGTGAGTTGGGGGCTGCACAGCCCTGCTCTGTGGTACCCGGGAGTGAAGCTCTCTAAGCCCAGCCTCCCCTTTTCCCTGGCGGAGGCTGTGGATGCAGTGGGGTCATCCTCACCAGGGACAGGGCTGGGGGTCCGGAAGGAGATGGAGAAGGCGTGGGGGCTGCTGGCAGTCCTGCTCTTACGCCCTCGCGCCAGAGGAGGGCGGGGCCTGCCCCAGGCTCCGCCTCCTGGGCGGTGCTCCTCGGTGAGGCCACGCCCCCTGGACACGCCGCGCCCTCTTAAGAGCCCCTCCCCCTTCCTGCCCAGTGTCTCGCAGGATCCAGCTCAGGGGTCCCTCCTTCCTCCACCCTGGAGTCCCCAGCTGGCTTCATCTGTCCTTCAGTCACGAGCTCCGCAGGGGACAGGCCGGGGCCCATCCCCACGGGCCATGACGTCCAGCGCAGGCCCAAGCGCCCCGCAGGCTGGTGCGCGCCGCAGGACAGAGGCCGAGGCCAGCCTGTTCCAAATGCCCCGCCCGGGGCCACAGCCCGGGATCGCACCCTGAGCCCTGCGCTGCGCCCCGAGGGAAGGCCGCGGCCCCAGGCCCTGGCGCTCACCTCCATGGCCTTCTTGTAGAGGGACAGCTTGCTCTTCTGGACCCGGTCCATGACGGCCTCATACTGCAGGGGACACGAGGTTCTGAGCCGAGGGCCGCGGCCTCGGGACGCTCCCCTAGGCCAAGAGGACGGGGTGTCCCTGGGATGAGGCGCAGCACCTCTCCTGGCTCTGGAGAGGGGTGACAGGCTGCCCTCCCTCCCTCAGAGCCTGCTGCTTCACAGCGACCCTCACCACGGAAGGCGACAGAGAAGCCCAAGGCATGGGTGTGCCATGAGGTCCTTGCTGCAGACCTTGGCCAGAGCTTGGTCTACAGCTGGGGAGTCCCCACCCCCACACACGTGCGCACACAGTCCTTCATCCTGCCTCACCGAGCCTCTGCAGGCACGGCAGTCGCTCACACGTGTCTGCACACTCTGACACACACATGCAGAGTTCCACACGAACTCGGAGGCACACAGGCCCCCATCCCCAGCTCCCCACACGCACGCTCACCGGCCTTCCTGTGCATGCCCACAGAGCCACTCACAAGTCTACTCACAGTCACCCACACGCAACCACAGGCCACATGCGAGCACAGCGGCCACTGGGCCCCTGTGCCAGGGGCTTCCTCTTCTGATAGAGAAGGAAACACAGCCAGGACAGAGAGACTGGGTTAAGAGGCAGGAGGAGAGCTGAGCCAGTTTGTGCCTGGGGTCTCAGGGGGCTTCTGTGCCAGCTGGGAGACCAGCGAGGCACCAGCACATGCATACGCACACCCCAGAACACCCAAGTGCACAGGGCTGGACGAGGACATATGCTCGCAGCCCTATGCAGGGGAGGATGGGCACGTGCATACACTCCTGTGAGCATGTGTCCTTGCTCTGCAGTGTGAGCACACACACACACACAGAGGCTCAGACACGCATGTTACACACTACAACACAGCGCTCTGCATGCAGGGCCCTGGCCACCTGGGGAAGGAGTGCTCTGTCCAAAACAGTCTTTGCAGCCACTGCAGCTCCTCTGGCCACATGAGGGCCCAAAATAGCGGGCCGGGGTCCCTCCGTCACAGCAAGCTCTCTGCAGGCTCTGCCGGCAGGTCCCATCTCAGAGAGTGTGCCTGCTCTAGCATCTCAAGCCTGGGCTGGCTTCTGGGGACCCACTGTCTGCTCAGAACCCCATATTTAGAATCCGGAAAGCCCAGCTGGTGGATGGGCAGGTGGCGCGGGCAACCAACCCCTTTCCATTTCTACCAGCAGAGCTGCTAACCAGAGCTGCAGCCCTGTCTGTGGAGACTGACGGGCGCATGGCTTGGGCTGAGCTCCCAGCACTTGGGAGGTAGGCATATGTGTCCCATCCTGAGAGGGAAACTGAGGCATGGAGATGGGAAGTGGCTGGGCCAGGACACCCAGGCCCAGCCAGCAGAGCCGCTAACCTCAGCCAGGCCCCAGCCTCAGGTACAGCTTCTTCCCCTTCCAGGCTGAGTTGTGACTTTCCATTTTCAGTTGTACAATGATCCTTTGTCTCCAAGCAAGCAGCAGGTCTGTCTGCTGCCCTCCCACCCTATGCCAGGCACCACCCTCATCACTAAGGCCCTGAGAGGCTGAGACCCCTCCCCACAGGCCCAAGCCCAGCCTCCAGGCAGCCTGCGTCCTGCCTGCCCTCCAGGAAGCCCATCCCCAACCCCAGCCTTGCAGCTTCCCTGACAAGGATCTGCCAGCCTCTGCTTACACACCTCCCATGATGGGGACCTCACTTCCATGCAGCCACTCTGTCTCAGGATAGCCATGCCCTGCGTATGGGTGAGAAGTCCCTTTGGATGCTAAGCAATGCCACACAACTCCCCTGCCCCAGTCTGTGTCTGACTCCTCCACCTCGGACAGTCCTGCAGGGTGACTGGCTGCAAGTCTGCCTTTCTCCAGGACAATCAGCCCTGCTCCTTGGACTCAAGCCAGTTTCCAGTGATCCCCCACAACTCAGACTGCCTCGGCTGCACACCCCCAAGTTGCCACAGACTCTCCATAGTCTGCGGTAGTAGGATCTTCCTAGGCGTAAGGCAGCTTGGCGGGAAGGACCTTCCATGGGGCCCTGGGACTGGGAGCTGGCCTTGGTGCCAGCGGCCAGGCCTCTGCCCTCCGCACCCACTTCAGATCACCCTCAAGCCCCAAAGCCTGGGGTACTGTCCCCCCGCCACCCCCCTGCCACCCTCCACTGGCTCTGCGGGGAGGGTCAGCCCCATACCCGCAGAGCAACTGAGAGGCTGGCGATGGGGGAGTTGCTCCCCTGCCCCCTGCACCTGCCTCACCTTCTTCCTCTGCTCCTTCTGCCTCTCCCGGAATTCCTCAAGACTACGCAGCTCCTCGCGCAGGGTCAGGGCCAGCTGGATGTGTGAGCTGCCCACATTCTCCATTTCTGGGGGCAGAGCATGGACACTGGTCCCCAGTATCAGACCTGATGGGCCTCAGCCAGCCACAACTCACCCATCTGGGCCAGCGCAGCCCCAACCCAACACCTCATTTTCTGTTCCCCCAAACCCTCCACCAGCCTCAACACCCGTAAAGATCCCATCACCCCAGAGTAGGGTACTTACGCTGCTTCAAGGAGTCAAAGGAGGCCCTCAGGGAGCTGCAAAACAGGTCCAGGTCAGGAGGAGGAGAGAGCACAGTGGGAACCTGAAGTCCCGCTGGCCCAGGGGGACTTTTATTTTGGTGGGAAGACCCCGGGTCACTCTAGAACCAAGGGACCCTTTAGCCAGATGGTGACCATCCACTGGGGCTCCAAACTGTGATTTCTGGAAGGCAAAGCTCTCTGCAAATTAAAGCACTCGAACTCCCGCAATGTGGTAGAAGAAGGAGGTACCAATGCCCACGTCCCCACCATCTGTGCTCCTGGCTGCATTCTTAGAGAAGAAGGGGCTGTCTTTAGGACCCTTCCCCCTCCCCTGAACCCATAGTCACAGCCATCTCTCCTCTGAAGGTATCAAATGGCCCCACGGTGAGGCTGCAGGGGAGAGGACAGTGTTCAAATGGGCTCTCAACAGGTGGCCCAGGGGATGTTTGGAGGGGCTGGATGGCCACAGGAGAGGTTAGCAGGGCAGGGCACCGGAGATGACAGGTGGGCACTGTCTGCCAGGGAGGGAGGGAGTGAGGGAAGGCCCAGCACCGGGCATGGGAGGGAACGATGGGCAAGGGGGAGGGCTGCCGAATGAACACATGAAACACAGGACACCAGTGCAATGTGAATCTCAGATGAACGAGCACTTTTTGAGTTTAGTATGCGCCTTGTCATATTTAAATAGTATTTTTATTTTTTTTTTTTGAGATGGAGTCTCACTCTGTCACCAGGCTGGAGTGCAGTGGCACCATCTCAGCTCACTGCAAACCCCATCTCCAGGGTTCAAGCAATTCTCCTGCCTCAGCCTCCTGAGTAGCTGAGACTACAGGTGCCCGCCACCACACCCAGCTAATTTTTGTATTTTTAGTAGAGACAGGGTTTCACCATATTGGCCAGGATGGTTTCAATCTCCTGACCTCATGACCTGCCCGCCTCAGCCCCCCACAGTGCTGGGATTATTGGCGTGAGCCACCGCGCCCGGCCTAAAACCTACCATTTTTTTTTCCTCTTGTAACTGCCATTTATCATATATATTGTATCTACAGATCAAATACATTTTGGCTATATACATTTTATGGTTTTTTAAAATTATTTTATTTATTTATTTTTTAAAATAATTTATTTATTTTACTTTAGGTGCATACTATATCTGGCATGTTATACCTCCCCACCCTCCCCTCCCTTCCCAGCCCCCATTGTCTCTATAGCCAAGACAATCCTAAGCAAAAAGGACAAAGCCGGAGGCATCACACTGCCAGACCTACTTCTGTTTTTAAAGAATTCGTTGTTTATCTGAAATTCACATTCACCTGGGCATCCAGTATTTTATCTGGCTCTCCCCGCAGCTTCTCTGTGGAGCAGCTCGCCCGCCCCCTGGCGGCCACACGGCCTCATGACTCCCACCAGACAGCCCTGGGGGGCGAGGGCAGCGCACCAGGCAGGTTTCTCAGGGGGCTTCTCCGGGGGCTTCTCCTCTCAATCGACACCTGGGGGAGCGGAGGCCAAGGAGGAGCAGCACCCTGGTAGGAGCCCTGAGGGTCCAGGCCTGGGGGAGATCTGTGGGGGCCGGGCCCCTCACCCTAAACTCATGGATCCCAAAGTGAGGTCCACAGGCCAGCAGCAGCAGCATCGGCGGAGCCTGTTAGAAATACAGATTCTCAGGCCAGGCGTGGTGGCTCACGCCTGTAATCCCAGCACTTTGGGAGGCCAAGACGGGCGGATCACAAGGTCAAGAGATCGAGACCATCCTGGTCAACATGGTGAAACCCCATCTCTACTAAAAATACAAAAATTAGCTAGGCATGGTGGCACGTGCCTGTAATCCCAGCGACTCTGGAGGCTGAGGCAGGAGAATTGCCTGAACCCAGGAGGCGGAGGTTGCGGTGAGCCAAGATCGCGCCATTGCACTCCAGCCTGGGTAACGAGCGAAACTCCATCTCAAAATAAATAAAGAAAGAAATACAGATTCTCAGGCTTGTCTCCGTCCTCCTGAGGCTGAGGCTTCGGGTTGGGGCCCGGCCCCAAGCGCTGCTGATGCCCATCCAGACGTGAGACCTGCTGGCCTGAGAGACGAGACCTCACAACTCTGCCAGCCCTTTATTATGCCATTTCACAGATGAGAAGCCAACGGTCAGAGGGATGAAGACGCTGCACCCGTGGCCGCCCTGCGGAAGGAGGCGGAGCCCAGGGAGAGGAAGGAAAGGGGGCAGCTGCGTGGTGACCCCACCTTCCCTTGTGGGGCTCAGGACTCTGACTCCTCACCAGCCGTGACACCTCCAATCACTCTGCTTCCTGTCAGTGCACCCCTCAGCGTAGTGCCCCCCATTCACAGATGCCTCCAGGAGCAGCGTGGTCCCCCATGCCCCCACCCAGCCCTCACGCACACCACCCTCGGTCCCCCCTCCTTCATGACACAGCATCCCCAGACTTACTGCCCGGCCCTCACCTTTGGGGTCTCACATCTGACAGATACCTGAAATTCAGCTGTCCAAAACCAGACTCAGCACCTGCCCTGCAAATCTTTCCTCCCACAGGGCTCCCCACTCAGAAAAGATTCCCCTGTCCACCAGCTGTACACACCAGAAACCCAGGAGTCGCCCCCGGCTCTGTCCTCTCCCTTCCTTGCCGCCACCTTCTATTTTGTCTCCTAAATCTGGTACCTGTCCCATGCTCACTGCCATCACCACTGCAGCCCCTGCCCCCCACCTTCACCTCCCACCTGTCAGCCCTGCTCTCTGCCCCTTCCCCTGTTCCTTCCAGGTGCCAGGCTCCATTTTGCCTCAGGGCCTTTGCACATGACCATCTCCATTGCAACGTCTTTGCCTGGCACCCCCTCCTGTCCTTTCTGAGCACAGATGTCACCGTGGGCTAACCCAGTCTATGTCTGCAGCCGCTGAACCACGAGCCCTTGAGGACAGGGGCAATGCCTGGCTCTCCTCCTCCTTGTCCCCAGGCTCATAGCCTAGACTTTCTCAACCCCAAAGCCACCTATGGGCCACCCTGGCCCATGGTCTCAGGCTGGGGGGTGCTGTAAGGAATCGCAGGTTCTGGGTGCTGCTGGCCCTTTACCCAGCCCCCCACCTGGAAGTTGGGAGCCTGCCTGAACCCACAGCACTGCCAGGTGGACAGTCAGCCTCTGTCCCTGCCCCAGGACAGCCTTGACAGTGACAGTCTGTGCTCGCCTTGAACTCACGTTTGCCCCTATGACCTGGCTGAGCTTTGGGGGCTGCATAGATGCTGGCGCTGCCTCTGCCTAGGGCAGGGCACCTAGGCAGGCTCTGGCCACTCTAGGCCCCCTCTGCTGTCCCCTGGGTTGCAGGCCTTCCTGCCGCAGGTCCCCTGTCCCCACTGCTGGAACCATCAGGCTATCCTAGTTCTGCCCACACAACAAGGCCCAGGACACTCCTCCCTTTCTTGGGCCCAGACTTTCAAGGAGGCAGCCTCAGCTCTATGCATGAGGGAGGAGCCCAGCTTTGCCCCAGAGCTCCCAAAGTGAACAGCCTTGAGCTCTGATCTTTCAGAGGATCTGGGAGCCCCCGTAAAGTCGTTCTCTGCCCTATGAAATTCCCCCTTCCTCCCCCGCCGCCCTCCTGCTCCCCCCACCCCCCACCACCGATGCACAGAGAAACTGTCAAGATGTCCCTGAGCGCCTCTACTGTGACTCGATCACATGTCAAGGACAGGGTCCCTGCATAGGCCTCTACCTCCTGCCATCTGTCTCCAGTGCCTCCACGTGTAACTCATCCCATTGCCCTTTTTGACTGGGCTCTCAGGAAGCTCAGTCTGAAATTCTGTGCTCAAACACAATCTAGATTTCCATTGTGTTTCCTGCTCTGTCCCCACTGCAGCCTGCCCAGCAGCTGACAGGAGTGGCCCTCTCGATTCCCTGTGCTGAGGCTGTGCCCACAGCGAGCCAGCGTCAGGGGACACCTGACAGGAACAGGGCCCGGCCCGCTCTCACCAATATCCTCAGCGAAGTTGTCATTCTCTCTGAGTTCAGAGGAAGAGAGACCATGAAAAAAGAAATCTCTCTGACAGGAAAACCACAGCATTTTTGGTTTGTGACAAGTGGGGGTGAGGCAGGGATGTGAGGGTTCAAACTTGCACCCCTTGGTGGCTGCCCTGCTCACCAGTAACTACAGAGGGGCTGCAGGAAGCTGGCCCCGCCCTGCCTGCCTCAATTTTCCTTTGTCTTCCAAAACCCTGCCCTGTGCAGCTTCGGGGGGCACATGGCACCCCCAGCACCTTACCTGAGACAGGAGGAGAAATAGGGGGTGGGGGCGACAGCTTTCTGGGGGAGGTGGCATTTCAGGCAGGCCTTGAGGGATGGGTGGGGCTGGGCAGGGGAGGAACAGGGAGCCAGCAGGAGCAAAGGCCCAGAGGCTAGAAGGGAGAGTCAGGTGCAGTCTCTGCAGGGCCGGACACGTGATATCAGCAGCATTGGTAAGCCCTCTGCTAATGCTAGCTGGTTCTGTTTGTTTGCTTGTTTGTTTTTGAGACGAAGTCTCGCTCTGCAGCCCAGTGGAGCGATCTGGGCTCACTGCAACCCCCGCCTCCTGGGTTGAAGCGATTCTTCTGTTTCAGCCTCCTGAGTAGCTGGGACTACAGGCTCACGCCACCATGCCCAGCTAAATTTTGCATTTTTGATACAGATGGGATTTCACCATGTTGCTCAGGCTGATCTTGAACTCCTGTCCTCAGGTCGGCCTCCCAAAGTGCTGGGATTACAGGTTTGAGGCACCTTGCCCGGCCTAATGCTGTCTTTAAAAGGCACTGAAAGTGCTGGTGGGGATCTCTAGAGTTTGGGGACTGGGTCTTGTCCATCCTCCATTGCCACTGCCCCATGGATGTTTGCTGAGTTAACATGCGAAGGTGGTACATGTCAGACATCACCTAAGATGTAACCTCCTGTCAATTTCAGTGGCCTGAGCCTTCAGGCCTGAGGGTTGCTCCTGGCTGGTTTGTGGGCAGGGGATGTGCAGAAATGCAGCACCTTCAGGCAGGGGGCTGGGGACTCCGGCCAGTTCCGCCCTCAGTGCTCACTAGGCTATTTATGGTGCCACTTAACCACCTGGCTTTTGTCCTTGCTCTGCAGCCTGTCCCCAGCCTTCCCATCCCCCCAGCCCCTGCCTATTCTTTAAGGGGTATCCCACAGACCTGGGGGGCAGCTGGGGCCTCAGGGAAGCCAGGGGCTTCATGTCCTCAGGGATGGGCCACAAGCCCCCACGCTGAGTAGCTGGGCCACCTTTCCTGAGGGCCAACACACACAGCCCCAGGAGTCCAAGGTGAGGAACAGGTCCCCAGCCACTGCTCATCCTTCCCCACCAAAAGCCCTTCAGGTTGGCATGGGGAGAGGTAACCTGGTCTAAGCCAAGACTGACAGTGAGGCAAGGCAGGGTGTCTGGGAAGGCTTCCTGGAAGAGGTGGGGCATAAGAGGGCCCTGATGCAATGGACTAGGAAGGAGAAGGAAGTCACCCTCAGTGTGCTGGACTCTGGCCAAGGAATGGCAAAGCCCTTTATTTTATTTTATTTGAAATTAATGAATCCTCCTGATGCAACCAGGCCACAACACATAGTAGGTCCTCAATTAAATGGTGACTAAATGGATGGAGGATGGATGATTGGCCTACACTGAAGAGAACAGCTGCATGGTCTCAGCATCACTACTTCATGCCACGTGGCTCAACAGCAACACTTATGGAGCCCCACTGTGTGCAGTGACCCAGCCTTGTGCAGCCGGTGAGCAGGGGTGGGCTCAACTCCCTCCTCCACCAGTTCCTTCCCTCTCCCTCCCTCCCAGGAGGCCCCCCAGTCCTCTGCACCGGCTCTTCCCTGCTCCTCTGGCCGCCCTGCCTGACAGGGAGCTCAGGCTCTTCAGGCTTCTCCCGCGCCACTTCCCTGCCTGCCCTGGGAAGCTCTGTGTCTGGGTTGCGGGCCCGGGGCTTTGTTTCTGCCTTTCCTGCTGCTGCTTTGGCTGCACCTGGGGCCTGGTACTCCTCACCCCAGCTCAGTTCCCCTGGCAGGCACAAGGCCAGCTCTGACAGTGCTCCTAGCCCTGGTCTGCGGCTCCCCTTCCAGGGACTTCCAGCCTCTAGTTGCCTAGGTGGTTTTCCCAAGGGCCTGTGGTTCTGGGCCAGGGAGGGGCTGGGTCCCAAAGGAAATGGTCTAGGCTGCCGGGTCAGGCCTCTCGGCCCCAGACTGAGCAGGGGACTACCGCTGATCTGATGTCTGGAGGGCTGGAGTTGCGGGGGGCTATAGGGCCTGTGGGGCCTGGGGGTTGTTATCAGGCACCCCTGTGGCTTGGCACTCTCTGCCTGTCCTTGTGACTGCCCAGAACACCTCTCCAAGTGACCATCCCCTTCTGCAGGTACAGACCCTAGACTCAGACAGGGAGGACCATCCAAGGCGACGCAGGGATAAGTGAGGGCAGGCCCCGCCCCACATGGCCTTGCAAAACCACGGCGCACTCAGGGCCGCCCAGAGCCTCCACCCGGCCCCTTCCTAGTCATACAAATGGAGCAAGATGCTGCCTACCTCCCCCTTCCCGCAGCCCACCCTGCTCCCCACCCCCATTGCATTTTCCCTGTGGGTAGCTTCTCCTTCCCTGCTGTAAATCCCCTGTGACTCACAACCCCCTGAGCCTGCGTCACACACACCCCAGCCTGGCCCCCCTTGTGCCTTGCCAGGGGCTGTCCTCTCCCCCTCTCCTGAGTCTCCAGTTCTCCCCATGAGGTACTCTGTCTTTCTGGGAAAGTACTTTTCCAGCTGGCCTGGAGGCCGGGAGGGTTTCCCCCATTCGTGCCGCCAGGCCCACACAGCCGTCCCTCCCCTGCCTGAGAGCTCTGGGCACTGCTTCCTGCAGAAGGCACCTCCCCACAGACGCCCATTCACTCCCCACCATGTCCTGAGCCCTCCTCTGTGCCCAGCCTGCACCTGGCCCTCAGCGCTTCCCTTGGGAGGCCCTCGGAGTTGATCTGCCCAGCAGCTCACTGGAGTGGGAGATGAGAAGAGGCGAAGCGACTTGCCCTCGGACCACAGCTCCCAGTGGCTGGGCCGGGACCAGAGCTCCGAGGGATCCTTAGAGCGCTCGTCCTCCCAGGGCTGCGTACACACTTTCTGGCCCCACGCACGCAACCTTCCGGCATTGCACGTGGATCTCCCCGGCTCATGCCAGGTGGAAGCCCTCCTGCGATCGCTCCTGGCTGGAAGCAGGAGCCACCAGGGTGCCCAGTGTCTTTGGGGGACCTTCAGAGTATGGCACTTTCAGTCCCTTTCTCGGGGAGCCGGCAGGAGGGGAAGGGGGTCCACAGCAGCTGCAGGTCGGGCCTCAGGGCCCCTCAGCAGGACGACTCTGCAGAGCCCTTTCAAGAACTTGGAGGCCAGCAGTCCGTCTGCCCCTTAGCCTGGCTCTGTCCTCGCCCAGGGGGCAGTCTGGGCCTTCTCAGAGCAGCCCCTGCACACCACTGTTATGCCCTGCACGGCTCTGTCCTGACCTGACCCTCCTCTCCTCCTCCCTCCTCTAGCCCCAGCGGTCTGCGCGCAGAGACCTGCAGGGCTGGAGACCCCCTGCTTGATCAGAGCCACTCCCCTGATGGCCTCCCCTACAGCCAGGCGTCAGCTAAGCCCCTGGGCCCACTTCCTCCTTTGAGGAGGGCTGCATGATTATCCCATCACTGATGAGAAAACGGAGGCATGGCGTGTGTCAGCAGCAGCCCAAGGGCAGACAACGGCAGGGTGAGGAGCTGGCGCTGGAACCCAGGTGTGTCCCCTCCCAACCCCAGCCCTGGCTACCTGTCCCTCCTTGAAGCCCAGGCTGAGCCAGTGCTGCAGGGGGCTTGCCTGCCAGCGGAGAAGCCTGTCACCTGCCCCTCAGGACTTCAGTGGAGGCCACCCAGACTGGTGCAGGCTTTGCTGCAAATGACAGAGGATGGATGGCCTCCTGCCTCCCGTGTCCAGACCCTTTCCAGCACTCAGACCCTCGGGTTTTCTCCCACACAGAACCTGGCCTTACTCTGAATATCTGATAACCCAGTACCAAGGAGGGGTCTCAATGCCTCCTGAGCAATCGAAACCTTCCCTGGTTCTGCCCAGCCTACCCCATGCCAGGAAGCCCTAAACTTCCTCTCAAGGCCCAGAAACTGCCAGCAGAGGAGAGGAGCGGGCCCCAGGGCCCAGGAGCTCTTACTTGATCTCCGTCTGGCCGCCTGCCTTCCGTGCGATCTGCACCAGCTCCTTCCCGTACCGCTCCTCCGCCTGGGCCCTGCACAGACAGCGCGTTTGAAACTCATCAGTGACTTGCCCCCTTGGCGGAGGTCCAGGTTTGAGGGAACACAGGAGAGTCACACTCCTGACTTTTTAAAGCAGGGATGTTCTGACAGGGCTGGGCTGGGCTGGGATGGGGACCCAGGTCACTGCTGGAGGAGCTGGGTGGAGGGCACCTGCCTCCCGCCCTGCGTTCCCCGTGGCCTGCCTGGCAGCTCACCTCTGCCTCAGCAGCTCCTCCATGTCCTTGCACATCTTCCTGCCATCCAGCAGCCGCTGCAACAGCACCTCGTAGCCTGTGTGGGCTGTGAAGTCCCTGCACTGTGACACAGGACAGAAGGACGCATGAGGGCCACAGCCACGGCACTGGGCACAGCCCTGGGGGCCCTCCCACCACCTTCGGAAACAGCCTCTCTCCTGTCTCCATCTCCCCTGCTCAGGGAAAGCTCTTGGGATTCCAGACCTGTCCTCATGCAGGAAGGCACACAGGAGGTCCCCTCACATCTGCAGAGGCCACAGGTGTGTAAGTGAGCCCCACCCAGCTAACAGGGCTGGGGGTGGCTGGCCTGGCATCAGAGCTCAAAGGCTGGGAAACATTAGCATGAAAGCGATGGGAAGGGCCATCCATAAGTCCCCCGATGACAGCCAGCCCTGAAATTCACTCAGTCATGGTGCCACCTTCCCAATATCCCTACCTCAGCTAAGTGGGGAAACTGAGGTGCAGAGGGGTGACATTCGACCTCATCCAGAGTAGCCCAGCTAGAAGGTGGCTGGCCTGGCCTTGAACCCCAGGCTGTCTGGCTCGAGTCCCTGCCTCTCACCCCAGCACTGTACAGTCTCCGTGACCATCACAGCAATTGCAGCTTCTTGGGCACCAGCCATGTGCCAGACGCTGCACTGTGTTCTCTGTGGGCTCCGGAACCCCTCACACAGATCCAGGGAGGTGGGCAGGGAGGGTGACTTCCGTCAAGGCCAGAGCACACACACAAGCACCCCTTACATTCACCTCTGGACTTAGGTGCGGTAGGGGCCTCAGAGAACTCTCCAGACAGCTACCCTCTGCTGCCTGGCACTTGCCCAGCTCGCCCTGGCTATCATTCCCGGCCCACCCAATCTCCTTCCTCCCCGTGCGGTAGATTCCAGGCATGTGTCTGAGCCGCCGGTGTGGGAAGATGGGTGTGGGGGAGGTTGTTAAGGACTATGAGGGAACGAGGTCTCCCAGGACATCCCCAGGCCTGGGGTCCCAGAGCCAGGCTCTCGCTCAACTCCCTCAGCGTTCCCAGGCCCTGTGCACAGGCGTTCTCCAGGGGAGGCAGCACTTTTGCCACCAACTGCACCTGACGTGTCAGGGCAGGCCTGACACTCCGCACCTAGTCTGTCTTCCTTTCTATCCCTGAAGACCCCCAAAGCCTCAGGGACTGGGGAAGAAGCCCCAGCTCCCCTGACCACACATCCGCCCTCCAAGGTCACACACACACAACACTCCAGGGTCACACACACTTCGCTTGACTCAGGCAAAGCCTGGTGCTCCTTCCCCTGACCCATGTCTCCCCTCAAATGACACCTTAGGGGTGTGTGGAGAGCAGGGGTGGAGTCCAAATCAAGGACAGCTCTCTGCAGGAAGAGGCATTTGAGTCACGTGCTGGAAGGAGGAGGTATTCTCCAAGGTCTAAGGAGAATCAGAAATAGCAGGGAGGGGTAGCAATGGCATAAATTGTCCCGACAGGCGCCGTCCCCACCCCAACTCCAGCCCACCCTCAGCAGACTCAGAGGGTGGACTCTCCTGGCCTGTAGGACACTTAGGACCCCACTTAGGAGTCCCCTTACGGATTCCTACCCGCTCCGTAAGCATCCCTAGAAATTCCTGAGAAAGGCTTGGCCCAGGCTCAGCTGTCCACAGAGCAACAAGCAGGTGTCTGGCCTGGAAGACCCCTCAGCCTCAGGACAGGCATCCACCCCCATGTCCAAGCTGGCGTCACTGGGCTGGCCTGGCCGAGGCTTCCATTTCCGTGGCTTTGGTGGCAGCTCTTTGCAGCCAGTAGGCTTCCCCTTCCCATGCCCCAGCCTCTGCCCTGGCTCTAGACCCTCAGGTCAGAGCTCCCGGCGGCTGGGAAGAGCAAATCTGGAGCCTCAGCCTCCTGCCTCTGCCCGGGGGGATCATGCTGAGCAGGACACCAGCATTCAGGTCACAATGCCACAGACCCCTGCCCCAGAACTGGGAAGCACCTTGTACGGCTCCCCTCACTCTTGGGGAAACTGAGGCCAGAGAAGGAAATAGCTTGCCTGAGGCTGCAGAGTCAGGACGAGAATCTAGACTCTCAGGGGACCTGTCATTCCTTCCTGACACCTCTGGGAGAGGCCACCTGGAGCCCAGCCCACCCCCAGCCCTGACGTCAAGGGAACCCTTCTTCTGTCCCTACGGAGGCCCCCAGAGTGGAAAGAGATGCAAACAGAACCTACGTTGGCCATTCCGGAGGCGTCAGGAGGCAGCAAGAGGCCCTGCAGGCTTCCTCCCCCGTGCTCAAGTCCCCAGAGGCTGCAGGCTCTAGGATCCACCCGGTCCCCCGCTCAGAGCTCCGGGCTGCTGGCAGGGGCTATGGCGGAGTGAGCTACTGTCACAAGGGCCAGGCTGTTCCGAGGAAGTGCCTGACACTCCAGGGGCTGCTCCCGATGCCTCCCAACCCTGCACCCCTTCCCCCAACCTGCGCCCTCCTCCTTCACCCCCACCCCCACCACCTCCTCAAGAGCATGGGTCTGACTCAGTGCTCTGGGCTGGCAGAGTCAGGCTCAGGATGCTGTTAAGGAAATGAATGAACCAATTATCCCATAAATTAATCAGTCATGTGGGTCCACCCAGCACCAGTGTCACCCCTGGGGGCCTACCCTAGCTGTCCCCCACTCCTCTTCCCTCCCTCCTCCCTCCGCCGTCCGCCCTCTGTCACCCGATGCTGCCTGTGGCCCTGGTGACCTGCAGCGCCGCTCGTGTGGGCTGCAGGTCAGTTGTGAATCTCTATTTATCAAGTCCGCCTGCCACACACGGCACCAGGAGCAGCATGGCGTTATCTTCCTGACCACGACGCCGATCCCAGGAGGGAACGATGGGGACGGGAGGCCCAAACAGGGAAAGAGACTGCCCAAAGCCACTCAGTGGGTGAAGAGCAGAGTTTGGGATCTGAACCCAGGTCAACCTGTCCCCAAAACCATATACCCATAGCAGCCGTTCGGTAGACAGCCCAGGGACCATATTCTATTTTGGAACACCCAAACGTTATTTGAAAAAAGAACTCTTGAAAATGATTACTCAAATTCTCTCCACCTCAAATCAAAGCTGTATTTCGGAGTATAATTCGGTTACTGTGGATTCAGAGGCTAGCCAGGTGCCCAGGCTGGGTCAGAGGAGCACTGCCCTGGAGAACCAGTGAACACCCAGTGGCCACGGCCCAGCCACGTGGCACCCAGGACAACCCGTCCTGGACTAGGGGTGCCAAGTGGGGAGCAGGCACAGTCCCTTCCTCTGAGAGGCTCACTCAGCCAAATGTGGGACCCAGCCCTTGCCGTGCATGGCGTGTGGTCATCAGCTCCAGGCTGCAGCCCAGAACTCCAGGAGGAGGCTCCCGGAGGAAACATATTCCTGCCTGCGCCTCAAGGCAGTGCTGCAAAGGCTTGGGTGCCCTGTTCTGTCCAGGGGCAGTCCACCGGCTTCACTCTCTGGGTTGTTGGTGTGAGCCACGGCGAGGCCTGTGAGCTGGCCAGGGCCCCTCCACGCCCCACTGGTTCAGTGGAGCGGCAGCCTCGGTGCCTACCGCCACTTCCCCCTTTCCCTTCCCATAACACTCTTGGTGCTGCAGGGGCGAGACCACAGACACCAGGGCCCAAAGCACGTTGTTTGACCTCTCAGGACCCGGTTTCCTCACTGGGGAAGCGGGGACAGGAGGCTAACCCCTTTTCGGGCCCTGATAGCCCACCCTTCTAGGGCACAGCACCGCTCGTGTGGGCTGCAGGTCAGAGAGGGCATTCGGGCCTGTTTGAGAGTCTGTGGACCCACTGACTCGATGTGGGTTCACACCTGCCGTGACCCTGGCCCTTCTCAGCTCATTTCTTTCTCTGTGAAAATGGACCTGATCATGTCACCACAGAGGTGACCTGAGAAGCAAGTGAAATCGCACACATAGGGGAGAACAGTGGACTCAAGATCGGGCTCTCCACAAGGCGGATACTGGGCTAAGGATGACTTACAGATGAGGAAAAGGCAACCCAGAGAGGCTACCTAACCTGCCCAGGGACCTGCAGGGCACAGCCTGGATATAACCCAGAGAGGCCAAGCCGAGATCCTAGCTGTTAGCCTCCCATGCCTTCCCCTCTCTGCAAGCCCCACACCCAGCGACAGTTCAGCCAGCAGCAGCTCCCTGAGCCCTCCCACCTGCCGGCCACCTCCCTCACCAGACACAGCTTTCCTCAGTGGGGGCCAGGCTGGAAGAAATGAGTCACCTCGTCACCGCCCCTCACCCTACACACCTTCCCCCACCAGAGGGTCGGTTTAAAAGGGAGCAAACCTTTCTCAAATGCTCCCTTGCCTGGCACTCCAGAATACAGCATCTGTCGAAGGACAGCTAAGCCTCCAACCTTGGAGGGAGACGCTTGGGTTTTGGTCCCAGTTCCAATCTGCCATGTCCAAGAATTGGCACTGAAATCTTACCTGGGAACCAAGCGGGGGTCGTGGAAGGTAGCCAGAAAGAGCTGCCTGGTCACTCTGTCCATGAGAACAGCCTGACAAGGAGAGACGGGCCCCAAGCAGAAGCTGTGTGGTGCAGACTGCTGGGTGCAGCGGGAGGGGTCGGAAGTGGAAGGGTGTAGGGAATGGAGTGGTCAGGGACTCCAGGGGGCATGGTCACCAAAGAACGTGCCCTGGTGCCAGGGAGAGAAAGAACTGACCTGTGTGCATTTGCTGTCACCAGTTATAACAGTACCAGGGCAGTGAGGTATTTCTCCCCTCTACAGTCATGACCCTATGCCCCCCCCACCCATGGACACCCCAGAGGCAGCTGGCAGTGGGGTGTGGGTACCCCATGGCCAGGGAGGAAACCAACCCTGTTCTCTTTTCCCCATCAGAGGTTTCCAGTGAAAGTCGGGGGACTGGGGTGGGGCGCTTTGAATGGAATGATAGAGTGAAGTTGTGAAACAAGGTTGCACTGGATTGGGGTGCCCCTGAAGATGACTGGAAAAGCTCCAGTATGTACCCACGGGTGGGGAAGCAAGACCTAGCAGAGGCCTTGAAGGTAGAGGAAAGAAAAGTGTTTGCCTGCCCCCTACCAAGTTCAAAA